TGGTACTTAAATATTTGCCACAAAGTATATGAGATGACAGAGACAAATTAAAATGATTTAATATTTGTGCAATTTAAGAATTTGAATAAATTATGCCAATTTTAATATTTAACAACTCAGTTTAGTATTGTGAATTTAATGATATTTTGAATTATTCAATATCATATCATAGCTTAAGATTTTCTGTGGTATTTTCAATTACTGATTTTGTTAGTTTTTAAGTAATAAAATATTACCCTGAAAAAATGAAATGGTTAATAGGCAAGACTAAAGTTTTTTACAAAGTGATTGGGTTCCTCCTTCTAATTTCCTTTCTCATCCTTTATGAAGTCATGAAACTCCCACTCACCCCTTGACTTACCAGCATGGAAATCACATAAAACTTAAAAGTTAATGTAAGCTGGGAAGTCAGTGATCAAGGCACTGGCAGGTCTGGTGTCTGGTAAGAAACTGTTCTCTGCTTCCAAGGTGGAACACTGTTTTCAGAATTGATGAATGCTGTGTCCTTACATGGGAAAAAGAGATGGAGAGGAGAAAGGGGAAAAGTGGTCCTTTTAACTTCTTCTGTAAGAGCAGTAGTCCATTCATGAGGGTTGAGCACTCATGGTGATCACTTTTGAAATGGGTACCTTCTTAATACTATAACTTTAGAAAGCTGAATCTCAGCTCTCCAAACCTGATAATCTTCCCAAAAAAGAAATCATCCTGGATAAGAAAAAAAGAATATATATGAAAAGAAAAAACCTTGGCAATAGAAAATTAAGCACTTACATTTAGGAGGTATTCTTGTATACTTTACTTACCTTAATGATAGCTTTACTCATTAAATCTTCAAGATTACCTTATGAGCTATAAACTGTTATTTCAATTTACAAGGGGGAAAATGAGGTAGAGAAGAATTAAATAACATTCCTTAGGTCACATAGTAAGAGGCAGTCATAAAATTTAACTTGGAAGTCTAAGTAAGGTTCAATTAGCCAGCTCCAGACAGAAATAGCAAATAAAAATTTCCTATTATCAACAGTTCTTGATAGGCAGCAGACTAAACCTAATGGATCCTCTTCTTCACTCACAGACTGTGCTATGTAACTTTGTGATGCTTTCCTCCCAATGCAGGCAGAGTAATCAACACCATGCTTTATCTTGGGGCTTACTGGTCATTTTGGACTAATGAGATATTAGTGTAGATGCACTGTGGAATATGGAAGCATCAACAAAGAACAATTCACCTCTAGTCACCAAAATGTGTCAGTGTTTCTTCCAGTGGAGACCAACTCGATATGCTACAATGCGACTCAGTAATGGAGTTAAACTCATATCCCACACAGCTCAATCCCACAAGACTACCCTCCACTTGAGACACCAACCTTAACTCTTGTGTTGTGACCTGTGCTTTTAATCTACTGGCTATAAAAGAAGGATTCCCATAATGTTCTTATCTAGCTGTGTCAGGTTGTTTAAGTGGCTCACAGAACCACTCAAATACTTATATTTGTTAGTTTATTAAAGAGAGTATTATAGAAGGTACAGATGAACACTTAGATGCAAGGAATGAATGAGGCAAAGTAGAAGGGCTGCAGCGCTTTCATGACCTCTCTGGACATGTCATCCTCCAGGAACCTTCAAGAGTTGAAGCAATCTCTACACCCAAGATTGTAAGCAGCAACTGGCAATCAAATAGCTCAATAAACATTTGATCAAATAAGTGAATCAATGAATGGAAAATTAAATGTGAACATACTTTCATGTATGAACACTACTAAAATAAAGTACTAAGTTCTGTTAACTGAGAACTATTCAAGCAGGCTGATTTCACAACATGTATTTTTAAATTACAACTAAAATGTATTTGATAAGACACTCATTTCACAGAGATGCTACTTATTACAAATGTTAATTCTCCATTGGATTTGACTGTACTTCTTTATAACTGGGAACACAAAACATAGAGGCGATGTGTCATCAGTACAGTAGGTTGGCTCTGAGGTTTTCTAGTCTTAGTATCTTGGAGTCTCCCAAGAGGTGGATCTTTAGATGAATCAATGCATTTGGTAGATCAAATAATATGCAAAGTAAAGAGATTAAATGAAGGCAAGCAATAACTATTCCAATATTATTGATTCATTATTTCACTTTACTTCTGTTTCCACATAGAATAACTACAGCTATATCTATTTTTCTATTTGCATAAAGCCAGCAACTTCTAGTATCTGATTTATATTTGTAAGGTGAAATAGACCATTTACTCTGGAATCAAACCATCTCATTTCTACTGTAAACTTACCGAATGATTTTAGGTGAGTTATTTTACAGGAACAAAAACAGTACCTACCAATAATGTAGTTAAAAAGTTTAAATATACCAATATGTGTGTAATGTCTTTAAGATTGCCTGGCATAAGAGAAACACTTTCACAGACACATTGCCTGCTATTCTTATTATTTTAATTTAGGGTCAAATGAGGCCCTATGTAATAGCGACTCAATATACATATCAAATTTATTAATGGAAAAGACTATGACAAACAAAAATATTACTTCACTGATGTCCACTCCTAAATTTTGTGAAAAAAGACTAATTTAGGTGTCATTAGGATTCATGAACTATTTTTTTCCTTTTGTGGTGTTGGTATCAAGATTATTTTGGATTATCTGCATGACCTAGCATTATCATATAAACACTTAAAAGCAAGACTCCAGCTTGAATCTGAGACATGGAAGAGAAGGGGAACATTGGAGAAATTCAATGTATGAAAGGGATTTGACATTCCATTGATGGAGGGGGCGCATGGAATGCATGAGAGCGAGTGTGGACAGGTGCAAAGACCAGCTAATCATTAGGAAGGAAACAAAGACCTCAATGCTATATTTTTCACAGAGTTCGAGTCAAGAAACAATGTGAATAAGATTGCAGGTGCATTCCTTCCCAGAGACCCATAAAGAACACGGTCTTTCCAACAGTTGATTTTGAGACCCCCACTTGAGGACCTAACTGAGCCTATAGACTCTTAACTACAGAAACTATGATAATAAATGTCAAAATATTCTGTGCTACTACTCTGCTATCCTCTGTCACTTTGAGCCCTTTCTCCAGCTAGTATCATAACGATTTAATCTTTAGTATTATTTTTATGCAGAGACTTCTTGGAAGTCCTCACAGTACATCCCTTAGGCCTTTATATTGCATGATAAGTAAATATATTTGTGCATGCATTAATCAAAGTCATGTAGAAAAATGCATTTATTCTAAAGCATATTACTTTGGAGATTAAAGTTTGCATCTTGAATACTGATATTTGGAAATGTATTAATATTTATTAATTATTGCATTCTGAGGAAAATATATTTTAAAATAAAAAGTTGAATGCTGTCATTAGTGTCCATGACATAATGATTAGACAGAATTTCAGCACTGGTTATGAACAGTAATTTAATTATATTTTAATTAAATAATAGGAAATAATACATAAATATATACCCAGATTCTCTTCCATTCCAGTCATTGGGATGATCATTTTTGTTCATTTGATTGCTTTGAAATTTCAAAAATATATACTTGCTGAGAAAAGTTAGATTATACACTGCAGCAAACACATGAGTTTCAAATATTTATTCTGCACATTTTAATGAGAACATATAAATACCAAATATGTTTGTAATTGTGAAAGACATCTTACTGAACAAATCAAAAAGTACCACAATATCTGCAACTTCTTGAAACATAATGTATGCATATAACACCAGCACATCCCGCTTGCTAAATTGTAGATTTTAAAGAATTTTTCATGTTGAGCACTACTTCTTGGTTTATTTTATCTGTTGAGAGCCTCAAAGAAAGACAATTACTTCAAGAATGAGGACCATTGTAGCTGCCAGCACTTTCATTGATTTTGAGATAACTCAAGATATCTTTGTACTTAAGGTCTCCAAAATTCTTTTCACTTATGACTTATTATCTCAGGAATAAAAATAATGAACTGAAGATGATTTGCAATAAAATAATTATTTGTAACCATTTGAAGACATACATTTTGTCTTCCACCTCCATACTTCATCAATATAAAAATACACATCTCTGAGAGGAATTTTTGAAGTTAAACATAGCCAACTACTCTAAATATAAAGAAATTTAAATAAGGCAGATCATACATAGTGTATAAATATAATGTATGATAAATATATACCTGAACAACATATTTATAAAATATAAAAGTGAGTATATTTATTTTTGATAAGTAATATGAAATAATCTGCTAATATTCTGAACATTGAAAGTAATTATTGGAAATTAATTTTTTTTTTCTTACAGGAAAGTAAAACCTGTGTTTTATGTGAAAATATTGCATATAAGCAAGGAGAAAAATAATAATTACAATCCTAAACTCAAATCCTCACTGGTTAAAAATTATATTAACCTATTTTATGTATGTTAATTTTATTATGTAAACTTATGCAAAGCATGTTTTATTTTTCATTAATATACTGTTGTACAGCATCTTCAAATGATCACATATAGTCAATGGTAT